TAGGCTCGGCGCTGGGCGCCAGACAAAGATGAGCGACATTGGATACTTCGTAGGTGGGGTCGGAGTCTCTAAGGGGAGGAGGGTGGTAGAGCATCATAGAAACACTTAGTAGTTAGCTCCAACCAGTCGAATTCGCCTGTGTCAGGCCGAATAAGGCCTGTGTAATATAGGTATAGATCAATATAGGCAGTAGAAATTGTGTTGATAGCAGCAAGAGTATGGTAGGACTAGTTGAAAACTGCACCCCGAATGAGGGTTTTGCAAAAGGAAGCGAAGCAAGGTAACGCTCCCAGTAAGGCTCTCCGGGAAGAATGTGAGGACCCCGACCTCAATTTGTAGATTTGAAATATATGTGAATTGTCTTGTGAAAAAAGCTAAATGAGAAAAATCTTGCATCATCTTTTTTTTTTTTTTTTTTTTTGGAAAGGCATTCAAAGTTATGTTCCTTGAAGGAGCCGAGGCCGGGGACCTCACATTCTACCCGGAAAATATTGGGTCCATTACCTAGCTTCGGTTCGTGCTGGAAACCAGGTCCAGCGTCCATCGCCCAACGGGCCTTTCGCTACAGGGGAGGGGTTCCACCTCACACAGAAGGATTGGAGCCCTAGCGGCCCCTAAATCTAGAACTTTTTCCTCAATATGTATATATGCCTTGGGCACTGGGCCCTAACAAATGGAAGGACTTTCTGGGAAAAAAAATAAAAATAATAATAATAATATAAAATCATCATGAGAGAGCAAATAAGGGCATACTCACACTAGTGGGTTTTTTGGCTAAATCGCAAGATCTGCTATGATGTTAGAGTCACACTGGGTGACTAGGATTTTCCGACCACCAAAGTTGCAAACGGGGTAGCATTTGTCAGCGGCCTGGGGGGGGGGCGGGGATGGGCATTTTGCTACCACCTCGAAAGGTGGTGGCAAATTCTCTTTTGGCCGAATAAATTCACTTTCGCCCTTAAGGAATTGCTAAAAGAAAATTTCCGCGCATTGTGACCATGAGAGGCACCAATTTGGCAATAGGCAGAGAGTTTTGCTCGTGTCCTTTCTGATTTGCAACCCATGTGTGACCAGGCGGGGTATTATTTCAGCAAACATGGGAAAGAAAATTCAGGGGCTCGTTCGACACTCCTCGGGGCGTCCTCGGGCCCCGAGGAAAAAATCTTGGAGTCGCCCGAGGAATTTGCCTCCTTCGTTCCACTCATCCTCGGAATTGTTCCCCGAGGACGATTCCTCGGGGCCTTCTGCGGCCAGTTTCATATATCAACGAGCGGACGTGAAGTGTCCTTGCGGACGTCGTTGGTCCATTGCGAAGTGTCCGTGCGTACGTCGTTGGTCCACCTCCGGCGGCCGTCGCGAAGTTGGAATTTGGCAGCGAAAAAAAACGAAACAGAGAAAAAGGTGCGCAGTCCCGGGTTTGAATTTTCAAATTCGAATTTCCGCAAGCGACAGACGGTGGCGTGGGCGTCATTTGCGGCTGACGCCAGCACCGTTCATCGGTGGAAGCATTTCGGCATGGGGTGGCGGCTGCGTGTGGGTAAGGCACGCCGAACTTACATTAAGACGTCCGAAGCGGTCTACACGCCGTCACACGATCGCCGGCGTTGTCGTCTTCGTCGGCGCACCTTCGTCGTCGACGTGTACGCTGTGTTGTGTGGCCCGCCATACGTGGAGTCTTCTCCAGTTGGCGACGACCACGTGGACAATGCAATTTGCGGCGATGGCCATGAACGGGGGTAGGGGGGGTGACACATTGAGCAAGGCAGAGAGGACGGCGGTGGCAGCGGCCGTGAAACCAGTCCTCTTCCAGTGTCAATTGCAAAGGGGTGAGGGAAGCATGATAGCAGACATTCGCGCACGGCGGAAGAGGATGCTGCAGTCGTTTTATGCGGAGGGAGAGGACAGTGTTGTCATTTGCGACGTCCGTGCTGCAGGTGTGCTACGCCATGGGGTGTGGAGCATTCCCCTGAGCGACGCCGAGGTGGTGGATGAAGCGACGAATGGGCGGGACGTGGGAGGATTTGTGGCATTGCGACGACGCAACGACGGACTACTTCAAGGACAAGCTGCGCATGTCGCCACGTCTGTTTCGAGAGATCACAGAAGCTTTGTCTCCCTTCCTTGAGCGGCGTGTCACTTTCTATAGGGAGCCCCTCCAGGCTGACCACATTGTCGCGTACGCTTTGTACAGGTGGGCGTTGGGGGAGACGTACGAGAGCGGGACATGCAGGTTCGACACTGGCAGATCTTCCGGGTTGGTAGCTATGCGGGATGTGACTGCGGCGTTGCTGAAGGTGTACCTTGAAAAGATAGTGCGGCCAACGGGTGTGCAGAAGGTGGTCGTTTTGCGCGCTTACGCTGACAGGGGTTTCCCTAACTATCATGGGTGCATCGACTGCACCCACATCTTCATCGACAAGCCAACGAATTCCCTCGGGGACGACTGCTACGATAGAAAATATCGTTTATCGGTCCAGGCGAAGGTCGTCGTTGATTTGAACTTGCGCGTGCTGGATGTGTTCGTCGGTTATCCAAGAAGTTGCCACGACGTGAGGATCGTCCACCTGTCCAGTTTATGGGCGCGAGCGGTGGCAGGGGAGCTTTTCACTTGCCCACCCTGTCATGCTGCCTTTCGGTGTGCGCACAAACAACTATCTGCTGGGGGACAACGGTTATCCGCCGTTGGAATGGGTAGTCGTCCCCTACGTCGGTGTTTCACAAACCCCATTGGAGTTGCGCTTCGACAACAAGCAGAGGACGATAAGGGGAGCAGTTGAAAGGGCTTTCGGAAGACTGAAGGGGATGTGGAGATTGTTCTTGCGCTCCCACAAGACGGACATGGAGACGTTGCCACAGTAGTTCATCGTCGTGTGCATTCTGCACAATAAATTTCTCGACTCGGGCATCCCCTTCGAGGACAACCTACTGTGGGAGGTCAGGCCGGATGGTGTGCGTCGCAGGGTGGATCTTGGGATGGACCGTCCCTTGAGGCCGATGTGTATGGAGTCGTCGACAGGAGATGCGCTCATTCTACGAGAAGCACTGGCGGAGCAAATGGGTGCGTAGTGAGAACGGCGAGGCGTGCGGCTGTGAGGACGTGGCTGTGGCGAGAGATCGTTGAGGAGGACGAGGGGAGATGGCGAGAACTCGGGGCAGACGACGTGGGAGGCATCTTGTCGTCGGGCAGATGGTCATTTCAGTAGGGGTCATTGTGTGTGCGGGCTCTTTGGTTCATGGAATCAGCGTGTTGGAGCAACGGTGGCTGCTTTGCTATGGGTTGCCCTGCATGGGACGGCGTGTGTGGGCAGATGGTTCCCGTTTACATTCGCACTCCGCGCCGGTGAGGACGTGGTCGGAGCCTGGGGTTGAGGGCGATGGCGTGGTCGAACACGTAGTCGGCTGGGGGGGCGTGGTGTGTGTGCACGTGCGGATTGCAGTTGTCGTTTGGTGTGGTGTCACCGCGGGTGACATGTGTGGGCGACGTGGTCGCGCCTTCACCGTGTGTTGTGTTTTCTCCGGAAATATGGATTGGAGTTGTCGCGAAGGCCATCAATTTTTGCGAAGTGTTCGGTCGACCGATGCTTTTTTTTCTTTTTACGATACACAAACAATGTACTTTGTTTTTTTATCGTGTGTATTAATCATTTTGAATACTTGTCTTCTTCTTTGTCGACGAATGGAAAATACATGATTGCACGACGATGTTGGGTGTACTTTGTACTGCCACCTTTGCTTCCAACGTTTGCAATGTCGTGTGTGAACATCAATGACTTTGTCATAATCGGTACAAGCGTGCATCCCCAATCCCATTACGTCCCCCTTCGCATGACATTCGTGAAGGCAAACCAAAGGGCAACAAAACAGGCAGCGACAAGACGATGTAGACGTCAACAACATGAGTGAATACAATTGCATGTTCACTTTCACTGATGCGAACATCGATTTCGCACGTTTGTAATAAACAATGACCGTTTAAAGAACACGAAAGGTTCTTTCAAAAACCCCATGACAACTGATCCGCAGCGTGATGAACACCTTCACAGAAACGACCAGCATCAATTGCCACCGGTGTCGTCCCCACCCCCCGCCCCCTCTCTCGCGAGCACCCTTCACATGTCATAGACGAAACCGCACGAAACGCTATCACCCGCCGCACTCCCCTACCACTAAGCTCGACGATGTATGTGCACTCCGGCACGACGATTGGTGCGCGGTCGTCGGCCAGATGACGGCAGAGCAGCACCGCACGACACAAAACAACAAGCGCAAAGAACACCCGCATGCTCGGCGCCCCCAAACACCCACCCCCACCCCATGCGCGTCCCCCATCCGACGTCGACGTTTGTACGGGGAATGCGACGAACACCCTGTCCTGCCCTGCGATGTCTACCTTGACGAAGACACTGCACCATGAACGCGTCATCAACCCCCCCTGCTACCTTCGTCTCTGGCTTTGACGTCGTCTTCCTCTTCCGGGGGGCCTGTGCCCAACCAGTCGACCTTCTTTGCCTAATGGGGGAAGAAAACGTGGCGTCATGAGAGAATTTAACGCCGATCGACGCCCAGTCGGGGATGTATAAAGGAGGCGCTATGAATGTCATGGGGAGTTTCGCCCACTTATCCGTGATGGCCGTCATGGCTTGCACGATGTGGCGGCGCGCGTCAAATGAGCGATGCATGGAGGCGATGAGCGTCGGTTTAGCCGTCAGTTGGACGAATACCCACGCATCGTAATGCGCACGATGATCGTCCCCGCACATCTGCATGAGCCACATTGTCGCCGCAAGCATGATCAGCAACGCTTCCGCAACGCTTTTCAGCCTTTCGTGCGACACCCGATCGTCGTCGACCCCCTCCGCCGTGCTGACGGCGCTCGTGAACGCCCCGACCAGTCGCTGGATGCTGGCCTCCTGGTATGCCACCAGGTCGTCGTCCTCGTGCCTGTCTTCGATGCCTGCGCCGACGAACCATAGTGGGAGCTTCATATCCTTGTCCAGCGTGATGTGGAACACCATGGGGCTCGCACACACACGCCAGTCCTCCCCCACCCTGATTGCGCGAGCGATGTCAGTGGCCGCGTGGTTCAACGCCTACCCGTATGCAGCGTGGTACCTCCGTTGCCTGCTCGCCGACTTGAAGATCCACTTGTGAATGACCCTCAAAGCGATCGTCTGCACCTTCAACGCCGTCTCCTGCGCAGCGTTCAACTCCGATTCATCCCCGATCTTGTGTTGCGGGATGGTCGTATGCGGCAAGACGATGCTTTGACGAACCAGTGGAGGTTGCACTCCTTTAGCCACCGCAACAAGATACAACCGCGCTTCTTGCATGCTCTTCACTATGGCGTTCCGTTCCGTTTCGTTCTGGAAGCGGATGTCGTCAACCCACAGCTTCGACGCCGCCTCGATCCCGTCCCGCGCACTCCGCTGACGCACCCTGTTCACCTGCGCTTCGTCATCCTTCCCCGCTCCAGCTCCATCGCCAGCCCTCGCCCCTTCCACCGCCTGTGGAACCCCCCCGCCTTCGCCCCTCCCGCCCCCGGTCCTTGAGAAGGTTGTGAAGCCCCGGCCGCCGCGGCCCCACCTGCCCTTCCCCTCCAGCCGCGTGAGCAGCCCCACCCGATGTGGCCTCGCTTGACATCGCCCCTTCAGTCGCCTGCGCAGCCCCCCCTGATGCGCCCCCGCCTGCCCTTGCCCCTTCTCCCGCGTGCGAAGCCCCCGCTGTTGCGGCCCCACGCTGCCCCTGAAGCGCACTCTGTTGCTGCCCGACAGTAGTCCCCCCGCCTCGCGTGGATGCCCCCGTGGCGCTGACGTCGATGACGTCTTCCATTGTTGATTATCCTCTTGCGCCTCGTCTTTCGCCCACATCATCAATCCGGAGGGCTCCACTCCCCTCCTCGACGACTTCCGCTTCATAGGCACTTCCTCCGATTCCTTGAAGTCGTTTTCATACTGCGACGCCGCCCCCTCCTGCACCCATTCTTCGTCCTCCATATACCAGGGAAGAGGGGAGGCGCCTTTGTCGAGCTTCCTTTGCTTGTTCGCAACGTGGTGACCCTTTTTCTCCCAGAGAGCAGCCTCAACTGCCTGTTTTTCTGCGGACTTGTCGCGCCCAGAACCGCGGTTCGACATGGCGCGCGACATACCCGCTTCAAGATCTGCCACGTGCGAAGTGAAGATTCGCGAGGCGATGGCGAAACGTGTTGTTAGATGCAGATCGTCGTCTCCACAAGGACAACGTAATGAGCGCGATGATGTCGTCGCTGTCGGGAGGTCGGCCCGGAAGACATTGTCGACGACAGGGGAACACGGCGACGAAGAGGACGACGGTGACGGCGGCAAAGAGAGGGATCGTGTCGATGGTGATGACGATGGTGTTAACGACGAACAAACAGAGGTGCGCGGTCGACGTTGTGACAACGCGGCGATGAAGATCACATGTCCCACAGCGGATGCTGCAACGATGATGGTGGATCGACCCGTGGGCTTGGCAAGGCGACACGCGATCGCGGCGACGACGGCTAAGATGGCGACAAATGCGAGGATGGAAAGAAAGACGACGAAGGCGGCGAGGAAGATAACAACGACGTCGAACACGGGCAGATGGACTGACGACGGCTGCCCTTCATGGCTCGCGATGTCACAGCGAACCAGTCGGAAGGCGCGGATCGTCGACGACGACGGAGAGCAACGCGCGACAACGTTCGTGCCGCGGAGACAAACAAGCGTGGAGAGACTTAGGAGGTGGTAACGGCGACAGAGCTAGAAGGTGGATGTAAGTGGCGTGTTGCGCTCGTTTGAAGGCTGATCGTGCATTTCCCAAGGACGGCCGCATCGTTTTATACACTCTACCCTGCTTGGTGGACGACCATGACCCATCAGAACCCAACACTGCTAAGCGACAACTCCATCGCCCTATCGTCGAAACATTGGTGTCGCGGGCCTCATCGCGGAAGGCGTTACGAAAGGCCAACGGTCGCGGGGTAGACTGACGCAGGGTAGTGACTTCAGCACGCGTCTTCTCGCCATCCTTGTTTTTTTTTTTGGCGGCGAAGGACCCCTCGCCCCGGAAGGGAACCCCCACAATTGTCGCCACCCACGTCCGACGCTGAGAATACGCCCGCATCACAAAACTCCCCAACCACGAACCCTCCCCCCCCCCCCCCCCCCCCCCCCCCCCCCCCCCCATCCTTATGCTGCCGGATGGGTATGGTTTGGCGGGGGAGATGATGACGACCCTTCCCCCCCCTCCCCCCAATCATCTGGACGTCCGACAACCTCCGCCCCACACAGGGATCGAGAACGGCAGGAAATGACACAAAAGCAAACACCACATTTCAAAATCTGCACTTCCTATCATTGGACATCCGCATTTACACGACAATTTGCAATGCACGAAAGGACGGCATCAACATCGACGACTGTGTGAGGGTATTGACCACAGGAAGTACAACATTCCGTAAATGCACGACATTCGAGACAACACCTTCATTACACGCCAGCAATTCAGTCACGGAGAGGACAGCAGAACACATGCTCCTAGAGAGAGAGAGAGAGAGAGAGAGAGAGAGAGAGAGAGAGAGAGAGAAAGGGAAAGAGATCAAAACCAAATCGAAGTCGTCATTTATAAAAAGGGAAGTGCATACTGCACTTTATCGACGTCGATGTAAATTGAGATTTGACGAAAATATCCGTCGTGGCAAACGGCAGTAGCCTTAAAAAAATCCGCAGGAAAAATTGAAAAATTGGGAAAAAAATAAATAAATCCAATGTCAGTGGAGGAGCCGTCGACCCAATTGGACCGCCACCCACTTCCATGGCCACCACGGCCAATCAAGAACCGCCACGACTTCGAAGGGCAGGCGACGGGTACACAGACGACCGAAAGGCTCCCACTTTCGCGTCGTGCGGACGATGGAACCGATGACTCGCACAACGTAGGTGGCACAAACTCTATCGCTCGTGGATGGCCTTTGCAACCTCCAGCAGAGAGTGACACATCAGTTTGCTAACTTCGTCTGACGCTGCGCAGTGTTTTTTTTGCACTTCCACCTTCGCTTCCAACGCTTCGCATTGCCGGATTTGAATGGAGCACTGCCGCTTGTTGTTGCTCTCCATCGTCGATGCCACGAAAACCCTGTTGTCGAGCGCATCGGTCCGGCACCACGCGCTGCAGTGCGGGACCCTCTCGGCCACGTCACGCAGAAGTTGGACCAAGCTTGCCTCGAAGACACAAATGGAGCTTCCTTAGGCCGCTCCGGCCGAGTGCGACAGCCATACCTCTCGCGAGCCCCTACGACAGGATAGGGACTACGCGAGGCACAACTTACCTCCACCTTACGGGAGCTGTCACCTCCCATCGGTGGGTGTATCCCTGCCGAGCTATCAGTCCACAGTACGAAAGTTACTCGGTTGCAATCGCAGAGGTGGACCAGCCGAGGGCGTTTCTCGTTCACGGTAGCATAGGGGGTACGCGCGGTAATACGCCTATCGGACCCGCACGCGAACTGACATCTTGGGGGGGCTTAAGTCCCAAGCGCGGCTCGTCGTCGGTCGACTAGGACGCATCCCACACACCACGCGCACACCACTTTACGACCACAAAAATAAAATGCACGCACACACACACCTCGCACAAACGACACTACCTAAACAACGCAGCACAAACAATGTGACAATGCTCCTAGCCCCTTCAGTAGCCCTCCCATAACTTTCACGCTGAAATGGGATAGGCGTCGCGCGCGAGACTAGTATAAAACCGCGTGGACACAGGGTTAATTCATATCGACTCGTAATGCAAGCGTACGCAGGCAGTCGCATGATGGCGTACTATGTAGTGTCCATAATCAAGCGGTCCCTCGTGGATCCGAGTACCGCTTATGATACTCAAGTGTCAGATTCGAAGTGTCGTGAGGGTCTGATCCCTCACGACATTGCACGGCTGAAGGAATATTCGTGCTGCCGCCGCGAGACTCCGACCTTTGGTCTAAGCTTCTCGGTAGGTAAGGCAAATAGGCTCTGCACAGGGGCAGATTCCTTCCCTGCAGAGTCTAGGGCTTGGGATGTCCTGGACATGGACCTTAAATCCCGGCCCAGGACCAACGTCCGACTATAAAATCTCCAAGGAGCAAAGGATAAAAGGGGGTCTCCCTTTTTTCGCAAGGCATAATCAGGTTAATCCTTGTGCATGATCACAGTAACCCGCGCATACCCACCTCTCAGCCACATACTCATGTAATCGCAGGCAGTCACATCCAAAGTTCGAACCACAACCATACCTGCAATCACATCAAAGATTAACAAAGGTCAACGCACTCTGTTTAGAAAGGGAGAGTTCCCTGATTTATACTAAGTCAGATATAAACTCAAAAGACAGCTTTAGTTCAACTTAGACAATTATTTGACTAACTCCTTAGTTTTGCAGAAATTTCGGCAGCACTCCCTTTAGAAAAGTGTTATTCCAAAATTCATACAAGGCTAAGTTTAGAATCTGAAAGTAACTTTGACTTCTCAAGGTTCAATTTTGTCCGACTCCCTAAATTAGCAAAAATTTGGGCAGTACTCCCTTTAGAAAAGGAGACTTTCCAAATTTTTACTAAGTCAGATATAAAGAAAAGATAAGTTGAACTTTGACAAGCCAAAAGTTGACTAACTCCTCGGATTAGTAGAAATTTCGGCAGCGCTTCCCGTTGAGAAAGTAGCTTGCCAACAGTTATACAACGCCAAGTATAATAAATGATCCCATAAAATGCGAGAATTGATCTAAGTAAAAAAAACCTGGGTAGCACCCCGTACGCGTATGCAGTGCGTACGCGTACGTATACCGGCGTACACGTACGAACCCAAAATTACGCATACGCATAMRWAAAAAAAAAAAAAAAAAAAAAAAAAAWAAAAAAAAAAAAAATCAAGAACTCTAAAAAAAAAGTATGCTGTGCAGAATAATAATACAAACAACATTTACCTGTAGTCATACCCGAATTCCAAACCAATTTAGATTTAAAAAAAAAAAACCTTCATAAATTAAAAAAATATTTTTAAATAGTTTTTTAATTATTATGATAATATTACCTTTTTTTTAGTTTTTAATCTATTACTCGAGTTTCGTTGGAAACTCCGGTATGAATCCCAAGCAAAAGTTGTTTGCATCATGTTTCTGCATAACATATATTTGTTATAGAAGTTTGTTTTTATTTTTGTGTGTTTTTTTTCCTAGTTTTTTTTTAATAATTGCAATTTGTTTATTTTTCGTGTCTTTGATTTTTAATTGAAGTTTGGTACAAAATTTCGAAACGAGTCTCAGGCAAAAGTTGTTTGAAATATCATTTTGCATAACATACTGTTTTTTTCAGATTTTTTCGATGAACTGTTTTTTTTTATATTTTGTTTTACGTATTCCCCAGTACGGGAGTACGTGTACGCGCGTATGTGTCGCGTACAGGAATACGTGTACGCGTGTACGCGCAACCCGCGTACACGTACGCCTTGCTACCCTGAAAAAAACTTAGCTCAGAAAATGCAGGAATTGAAACTAACTTCTATGGCTCTAGCATGTGGCGAGCGACTAAAGCGACTACCTATCAAACTGAAACTCGAACCAAGAAGTAGCCTCACTCTGTCACATGCAGGCCAAACCACAAAGGTAAGTACTCTCACCATCCTAAGTCAACTTGGCAGACAATAGTTCATAATCTCTCAATGCTTTAGCCCTTTATACCCTGCTTACATAAGGCTTAGGTCAGGCCGCCTGAACTTACAGAGCGCGCCGAACTTAGCCAGGCCTAAAGTCAGAATACCTAAACTTATAGAGCATTCTGACTTAGCCGAGTATACACAAACAGAGGGCACAACTACTTTTCTCTTCCTTGGGCATATGACTAGACCACTCTAGTCGCCCTGAACTATTTAGATAGTCAAGTTATATATATCTTTCTGAACGTAATCTTCTCAATGGGCGTAGGACTGAGCCGCTCAACTTAGAACACTACTCAGTCGGTCCGGCTTAACTCCAATTATATCTCTTTAATTATACTTTCTTCATTTTGTGATAAGCTATAGCCAGGCTACCTAAACTTATAGAGCGGCCTGGCTAGCCTGTTCTTAATAACATAATAGTACAATATAGCCAAATCATAAGAATTGGGTTCCAACATGTGCGAGGCATTGGATCAGACTACCTAAACTTATAGAGCGGTCTGATCCTTTGCCAAGTTCGTTTCTCTCTGATCCGATCTGTGCGAGGCAGTAGGCTAGGTCACCTAAACTTATACAGCGGCCTGCACAAACTTATAGAGCGCTCTGAGCCCCTGAAAGTCAAGCACAATCAACCCTCGCAAGTCAGAGCAGTCAGGTCACCTAAACTTATAGAGAGTCCTGACTCTCCATACAGTTCACAGCACTGAGTCTCCCCAAACTTATGGGGACATCCCAGCCTCCAGAGCTTCAGGCCACCTAAACTCATAGAGCGGCATGAGGCGCCATGCAAACCAAAGATAAACAAAGCGCTGGGCTTCCCCAAACTTATGGGGATCTCCCAGCCCTAACGACCCAATCAAACCGCACACAATACTGCCTTCCTCCCAACCTTCCCCCAGATCCAACCTTTTTTTGTTCACAGTCTACTTTCAGGCAACCAAACAAAGTCTGAAGCTGATTTTGCTCACACATTCCTTTACTTGGTCTGAACTCGAGTCCTGAAAGTCAAACCAAAGTCGGAGTACAGGGTTCACGCAATACATTCAATTAAACCATAGAAGGATGTACAGATAAGGGTTATAATCGGGTTTATAGGAGTCAGGGAATTACCACTCAGTTCCCTGCCTTCAGGACTCCTCCCGATTCCCGTCAGAGCTCCTGCAGTCGGTGGGCTGACTCCCCATAGAGTCTTGGTGCGGTCCTATGGGTTGCAATCCCGCCTGCCACCTTCCTCTACTAACCACAGACGAGACTTAGAAGGAGAAGGAGAGAAATAAAATCGCTTAGTCTCTCAGATGCAGGGAAGGTGTGCTCAGACTCGCGTGAGAGGGTCTTCCAGTCTTCGATGCCTGAGGGCCCCACATTGGTGGACAAAAACACAGCAGCTTGGTCAAATGAGAGTCAACTGTTAAAACAAACTTCTCTGATGAAAGCCCGAACATTTCTTCAACTACGGCAGCAGCCTTCCCTGCATCCCAAGCAACCCCTTCGCACTACACCTTTGCTTCTCGTAGAGGAGCTGCAATCACATAGCTTTAAACAGTCGTCCTCAAGGCAACGCAGCAGTTCGTAGCAGGTTCAACAAACGCTGTTGAAGTGCTACAGCCGAACCAAGCTTACGAGGCCCGCAGTAAAAAGCGGCAGGACTGCCGCAGCCAACAACCAAATGCTGCAGCTGCCAGCAAGTACAATCGCAACAGCCTGTAAGTATACTGCAGTTAAGAGCCTCCTTTCACAACAGCAATGACCCGTAGCAGTCAACTGCAACTACCAACGACTTGCAGCTTCAGCTTGCCTCTAACCAGCTCCGCCTGTAATATGAATAGCACACCTGCTGGCTGACATGTCCGCAACATCACCGTCGTAGCAGCAAGCCTTTCGAAAACAAAGGGCAATAGCAACTTTCCTTTAGAACCACTTCAGCCCTTGTACCCACATTGGGGTACAGAGCAAGGAATAACACCTCAAGCAGTAACTCATGTCCAGCAGCAGTAACAACAACTATGATCTAGGAGCAACACCTTTTTGGTCATTTCCAGGTAAGAGCCTGCAGCAACAGATGAGCAGCGGTTCCGCAAACCGCAGCTCATCGAGTAACAGCGGTGTCCCCCACTTACTTAGCGCTCGGACTCCGGTTCCGTAGTCATCTCGACATGCGAGCGGCCGCCATCAGCAACAACTGGAACCTGTGCACGTACCAGCCACGCAGGCCAGTACCACGGCCCGATACCTCCTCTTCTCAACAAGCTATAGCCTCAGATCGCCCGAACTATGACTACCAGCCACCGCCAGGTAAATCAGCCTGTCTACACGGCGGTACCTGTCCCCCGATCGTCCGGCCAAGTTTGCTTAAGATCAGCTGTAACAATGAGAGGGCAAAGAACTGCCAACCGGACGAGCAGCCGTGCAGCTTCCCCAACGGAACAGCAGGCTCGTCGAGGGTGAATCTTCCACCGGATGATGGGTAGGTACACCCGGGGACCGCACAGAAAGCGTAGGTAAGCCTTCTTCTACCTCGCTCCTCGCTCACGTATATGCCTCTGCGAATATACCGGTGGATGCGCCCCTTCAGAATATCGAGCCCC